ATTAAATCTAAAAAGCAAGATACACGGTTCTTTAAAATTTAAAAAAAATTAACTGTAAGTAGAGAAGATCAGTCAGATAAAATTTGTTCGAGAAATACAAGCTATTTTTCTGTGGTACATACTATTCTCTGTCAAATATTACAAACGGATCGACAAGACAGCTCAGAAGGTAAAGGCATCTGTAGCCAAGCCTGACAACCTGAATTCATTTATTCATCTCTCACACAATCATACATCCCAACCACAACTCCCCTCTCCATTCCTCCCAGCCCCTCACCCCCACCTACCTTCTTCCCCAGGCCTACAGGAATATCTACAGAATACAGCACAACAGGACACAATAAAACCAGACACAAACCCTCACATCAAGGCTGGGCCAAACAACCCAGTAGGAGAAAAAGGGTCCCAAGTGCAGGCAAAAGAATCAAAACCACCCTCACTCCCACTCTCAGGACCATTCAATAAGACATTTTAAAAACAGTAATTATAAGTATACGCGTGATCACAGATTGTGATAGGCTACCGTGGGAGAAACTATTTAGCTGCAGGATATAGCACCTAATCCAGAAATAAACTACACTTCCCAGTCTTCCCTGCAATGAGGGAGGTCATGTGACTAAGTTCAAGTCAAAAAGGTTTAACTGGAAAGGTACATAAAGCCCAGTAAACATCCTTAAAAAAAAAAAAAGAAGAAAGAAAGAAAGAAAAGAAAAGAAAAGAAGGGGGGGGCTTCTCTGTTGATTCCTCTTCTCACCAGATGGAGCTGCTATTTTGGACTCTGATGTGAAGCTTCATGCTGAGAACCGCAGAGCAACAGCACAGGAAGTGCCTGGGTCGCTGACACTGGAGAACTCTTTCCAGCCTGTCCACCTCAGAGCTTCTGGGTGCAGGGAGGTAGAAGTGTGCCTAGCTAAGCCATCTTTATGTGGGGGTTTCAGCCATTCACAAACTTGATGGTAAATGGCATTAGCCATAGAGAACAAACAGAGGCTTCAGTGAGATCAGGAGTGGAGACGGCTTCAGGCTCCTTGGAGGAAGCAACAACTTCCAACAATGAGGTGAATCCAGAGAGGAAGGCTGGCTAACTGAGGCAGAGAAAACCAACTTCAGGCTAAATCCTCCCAGGACAAGACACATACTTTGGACCGTGCAGACTGCCTGTTAGGCAGAGATGTAGCGCAGCTATAAGAATGCACTTGCTTAACACGCGCAAAGCCCTGGGTTCCCTCCCCAGAACTGTCAAGAGGAAAAAAGAAGAAGAAAAAGATTGCTTCTACAGGAAATTAGAATTAAAACAGAACACTAAAGCAACTGAGCATTTTGGCTCTGGAATCAGAATCTCTCTATTCTGCCACGGACCACATATTGCCTGTCAGATATAAATGGAGGGGAAGTGCAGAATGAAAAGGAAATGAATAACTGCTTCCACACTTTAGCCCCACTATGCTTCAAAATAGTTGAATTCTCTGATTAGAGTGAACCATCTATTATGAAGAGAATGTCATAAGGTTTTCAAATGCATACTATTCCAGGTAAACCAAAGATTGGTGTAAATTTTTTTTTTAAATAATGTTTCTTGTTTATTTCCCTATCTTAAAAAATGAAACAATGGTCAGGCAGTGGTGGCTCACAACTTCAATCCCAGCAGTGGGAGGCAGAGACAGGCGGACCTCAGTGAGTTCAAGGTCAGCCTGGTCTACAAACCAGGACAGCTAGGACTGTTAGAGAGAAACCCCGTCTCAAACAAACAAACAAACAAAAAATATGCACTATGGAGATTTTGAAAAATACCTTCCAACATTTTTTTATTGATACTGTTTTCATACACATTTGCATTCCAACACACATGTGATATACATAAAGTCATAAATGCCTCTTAGCAGAAGCTATTCTATGTCACTAAACCATGATGTTAATTGGCTACACAGCATACAGCTTATTTAGCCAACTAAGTCTAGGAATGTTTTGAGTTAAAACTGACAGAGAAAAAATGAATCCCTGGTGAAGCTGCCTTCTAAATTCACCTTAGAATTTCTATTTAGGAATCTCAAACTACAGTTTGAAAGCACCAGAAACTTCCGAACAAGCATTCAAAGAAATTCATTGAGTTTTAGCCATAGAGGATATTCACTAAAAACTGTATTTTCCCAAAGCACTATCAAAGACTAAAGTTGTATTAATAAGAACTAGTAAGTCTACTATAAGAATTGATGACTATCTGCAATGTTGTATTTCTTTAATAAAGAAAAAGTAAGAAAATATTTATATTTTATTTGTACAATTAACTTTATAAATATATAAAAATGTATAGAGACCTGGGCTGTGGTGGCGTATGCCTTTAATCTCAACAGTCGGAGGTAGAGGCAGATGGATCTCTGTGAGTTCAAGGCTAGCCTGGTCTACAGAGTGAGTTCCAGGGTTACATAAAGAATCCCTGTCTCAAAAAACAAACTAACTAAGAAAAAAAAAGGGTTAAATCTTTAACTGTAACTATGACATTATTTTTCAGACTTCTCTGTATTTAACTTTTTCTCACAACAAAAACATGATGTTAAGTTAAACTATTACTCATGAATAAGATAATTCCGATTTTAGTTACTAAGAGGAAAGGAAAAGTTTTGCCAAAGTCTAAGTAGTCTTTTTTTTAAAAAGATTCTTATTTATTTTATGTATATGTATGCTCTATCAACTTTAGGCCAGAAGAGGGCCTCATATCCCACTATAGATGGTTGTGAGCCACCCCGTGGTTACTAGGAACTGAACTCAGAAGAGCAGCCAATGCTCTTAACTGCTGAGCCCTCTCTCCAGCCCCATCTAAGTGGTCTTTTGACAAGGGAAAACAAACAGGTGGCATTAGAAATTTGTTATAAAGTAAAATTTCAGATTATAGTCTAATGAACAACAGCAAGGTTTCCTGTTGCACTGTGAGGAAGAGCCAGTGTTCACATTCAACAGCTGCCCCTTCTTTAGACGCTGTCCTATCCTGGTCTATCAAGAAGGCTATTTTACAGCTAAGCAAATATAAAAACTGCAAGACTCTAAGGTCTTTCTGAAGCTAGATGAGGTCAATTAGGAATAAGAAGTTACAGAATAAACCAAACTGAGGTGGTTTGAATAAGAATGGCTTCTATAGGCTCATAGATTTGGATGCTTAGTCCCCAGGGAATGGAACTCTTTGAAAGAATTAGAAGGATATGGAGATATAGCCTTGTTAGAGAAAGTGTATGTGTGTGTGTGGGGGGGGGGGGGGGGTTTCTGAAGTCCATGCCAGGCCCAGTCTCTCTCCCTTCCCCTCTTCCTTCCCTACCCCATACTCTGCCTGTGAATCAGTGTCGCTCTTAGTTGTGGCTCCAGGACCATGCTAACCCTTTGAAACGGCAAACAAGCCCCAATTCGATGTTCCCTTTCTAAGAGCTGCCTTGGTCATGGTGTCTTTCACAGCAACAGGACAGTGACTAAAACACAAACCTTCACATTAGTTGTCACAAACAAAATTTTCAAATAAATGTAAATTTTTCTTTGATTGCACATTTCTCTGAAATGCAGCCTTGAGTTCTTTTAACTTCGTAAAATCATTTCCCACCCCCACCCCACTAATCATTTTCAACTTCTTTCCCTGCTAGAATTCGTTGGAACTTTCAGCAAAAGTGACTTACTTATTGGCATTTTGTCAAAGGAATCCTGCAACTATAAGAAGGCTCAGAACTAACAGGGCTCCAATGCCAGACACTGTCACAACACACTTCAAAGAACCAAGTCACATGCTAGCAGGGCCTGTTTACATTTTCTCTTACAAATTTGTCTTTGCCTCTGTAGCCTATCACCTCCCAGTTTGACTCTGCTTTTCCTAATCTAAAACACCTCCTGTCTGTGGAGAGACAAGACTGGGAAGCATTAAGGAGAGAGGAATCAAAAACAGTGGTTCGCCGGGCGGTGGTGGCGCACGCCTTTAATCCCAGCACTTGGGAGGCAGAGGCAGGCGGATCTTTGTGAGTTCGAGACCAGCAGGGTCTACAAGAGCTAGTTCCAGGACAGGCTCCAAAACCACAGAGAAACCCTGTCTCGAAAAACCAAAAAAAAAAAAAAAACAGTGGTTCATCTTCGGCTTAGAAGATTAACTATCTGTGGTTCTCAAGGTTTTATTTCTCCCTTCAATGAAATGAAAAACATGATCAGAAATCTGCAGGAGAAATTATTTGTTGCTATTATTTAGACAACAACATAAAACTCAGTTATTGAAAACTGTTTCGACAACTCTTCAGTAAGACTTCACTAGCACTAAATTGCCAACTGGTTCAGAGTTCGTTGCTCTTAACTCCAAGACAGAAACTGCTCTTTTAACCAGAGAGAGGAGTGAGCAAAGAAGAAAAGGGATGCTTCATTAGATTACCAGACATGGACTGGGAGCACCACCGACACTCCACCTGGTGGCAGAAATTGCCCCAGTTGGGAAAGTGGAAGCAAAGTGACCGACCAAAGCAAGCTCCTTGTACAAAACATAAGATGCTCTTCTCTTGCCCTACATAGAGTAACTCTAACAAATTCCATCAAAGAGTTTTTCAAATAGTAGGTCAGCATCTTATAAACATTAGCACAGAAGAATACAATACTTATAACAGGAGACCTACATAGTGAGCTACTTAGTAGGTTAAACCTTTAAACAGTGAAGAAGCCGACACAGCCACTACAGGACTCCACATCACACATTCCCACTTTCTTTGCCCCTTCCCCTGTGGGTAAACTACAGTTTAATTCACACAGTTAACGGCAGCCTGCCACATTGCCTTTAAGTATCTGCCAGCAGCATATACTTATGGGATACTCTAGAGACTGATTTCAACCAAAAATAAAAATAGATAAACAGCTCAAACAAAATTAAACTGAGTCTGGCTGCCCACACTTATTTTCACACATGAAGAATAACAGCAGTTCTCTTAGAAGCTTCAAGCACACATATCTTTAGAACACAATGTTAAAAATATGTCCCCGCCTTTCCCTACCTGTTTCTCACTCAAAGCTGTGATTTTGGCTTGGAGTTCATGAAGCTGTTTCTTTAAGTCAGCATTCTGATTGGAAAGAAAAAATATCTGTGAGAAAGATATTCATTTGTTAACATGATAGTATCAGGAAGACTGTGCACATACTGCATTAACAGTGATGAAGCAACCTTTAGCATCAGTTTCCCATGCATTAAATCACAACATAGTCCCTCAAACAGAAGGGTGGCTTCCTCACAACCGCTGTAAATTTCAGGAGTTTCTATATCCTCATCTGGCACTCTAACAGCTACCTTTGTCCTAAAATACTGTTATTCTTCATAGAACATATCAGTTGACAGAAAATCTAAAGCTCCACTAATCAGACAAAAACAGGGAAATGGAGGTTAAAGAATGCTACCCTGCTGCTTAGCAGCATTATCAACAAAGATAAGAGGCTTTTCTCTACTTGTCCTCTCTCTTATTTAGTAAAATACATTTGTTATTTTAGCCTAGATTTGGAAAGCTGTCAGCAATGTAACTGCCTTCACAGCATATCATTCAAATCAACATGCTGAAATTCTAGGAATCGAAAAGAGAGTACTATTTTAGACGAATACACTAAGTGAGTCTGCCTTTTGCGGGGGTGGAGGCGGGGGGTGGGATATTAAAGTTTTCAAATGTTTAACAGAGCAGGAAAGCGAATGTCACCCCAGTGAGACTTACTTGTTTCATACATAGCTCCTCGTTTCCCTGCCTGCTCTGCTTCTTACTGTACGAGGCTTACCTCATTTGGGATTTTTCAGTTGTATTTGATATAAGGTTTTTCTGAAGATACCTAAATTGTTGCCCAATAAGTTACTGACCCTCAGATTTTCCAGGTGATGATCATGAGTATTAGAACTGCCGCTCTGTTACTGACAATGTAGATCACCACATTAAATAGAAAGGACCTGGCAATGTGTTGTCGTTTGGTTCCCTAAAATTCAATTTAAATTGTGGACACACTAAATAAAAATTAAAAAGGGATGTTTCTCATGGAAGGTAGATGTCAGATAGGAATAAATGTGGCCACAACGGCTACTTCTCAGAGTCAATGTATTGGATTAAAATACAACAGTCAAGACCACTTAGTCCTTGAGATGAATATTGCACACAACTTCAAAAAAACAATTAATCTGCCTTAGTACCACTCTTCAAGAATTTTTTGTTTGTTTGTTTTGTTTTTCTAGACAGGGTTTCTCTGTAGCTTTGGTGCCTGTCCCGGAACTAGCTCTTGTAGACCAGGCTGGCCTCGAACTCCCAGAGATCCGCCTGCCTCTGCCTCCCGAGTGCTGGGATTAAAGGTGTGTGCCACCACTGCCCGGCTTCAAGAATTTTTTTTTTTACTTTATAGACAGGCATATATGATCCACTGTCTAATAGGTGCCAAGAAGTCACTACCTGAATAATAATAAGAATCAAGGTAACTTTGGAGAAAGAAATCTCCTGCTGGGCTGTGGCAGCGCACACCTTTAATCCCAGCACTGGGGAGACTGGGGAGGTAGAGGCAGGCAGCTCTTTGCGAGTTTGAGGCCAGCCTGGTCTACAAGAGCTAGTTCCAGGACAGGCTCCAAAGCTACAGAGAAACCCTGTCTCGAAAAACAAAACAAAAACAATAAATAAACCACTCATAGCAATTAACAAAAAAGCAAAAAAAAAAAAAAAGTAACAAAGTTGAAACGATAGCAATTTTATACAACTGGACTTTTTTAAACCTATAAAAAATGGTATCAACATGCAATACTGTTTGGGACGTGCTGTTTGGGATAAAACTGTTTTAAATTTAACTAACAACTGCATTTTACTACTTTATTGTCATTTTTGATTGTTTTTAATGTTTAAAAATCAAGTTACTAACAAAAGGATTTTTTTTACCTGTGGATCCTGCTTCATTTGAGCAACCAGTTTCTGGTAATAAAGAGAGAAAAAAAACTGTCAGTCTCACAAATTAACTCCTATGGCTACTTAGGTTTGGACACACACACACAAATAAAAATAATTCAGTAGCACCATCAAAGTAGACCAAAAGTTTTGATGATGTCTGTAAAAGACTAATGAAGTATTCCTTGTAACATAATAAAGAACCAACTATACCTTTATATTCAAATGAAAAAGTACCTGATTTGTCAGTACGGAGGTCAGTGACTTCTGCAATTTAAATAAGCAGGTGCAGGCCAGGCAGAGTGGCACACGCCTTTGATCCCAGCAAACAGGAGGCAGAGGGAGGTGGATCTCTGTGTATTTGAGGCCAGCCTGGTCTACATAGTGAGTTCCAGACAGCCAGAGCTATCCAGTGAGAACCTGTCTTAAACAAACAAACAAACAACACAAAACAAAACAAAAAAATAAGCAGCGTGCTCCAAAGGCCAAATATCCCTGTCAGATATTATCACCAGCTGGATTCCTACCTAGTCAAAGTCTACAAAGACACCAACCCAGACAAAAGAGAAGCTGTTTGTAGACAGCAACTACAGGTCTGGCAGGTCTATTGGTCTGGATCCTACATAGAAGGAGCCTCCTGACTTTGTTCTGTCAGCTCTCAACCACCTGGAACTGCAGTCCCAGAGACTCCAAGTCCCTCTTCTGGCTTCTGTAGGCATCAGGCATACATATGGTGCAAATATACATGCAGACAAAACACTCGAACACATCAAATAATAAATAAATGTCATCTGAACTAGCCAAACTGGCAAAAAAAAAAAAAACCCAAGAGTAACAATAACAGTGGACAGAGGAATTTAAATGATAAAGAAATACGAAAAGGCTGCCTCCTAAAACCCAAAGCTAGATACCCACAATTAGCTATTTTCCAGTGAATTTTTTATATAATAATAGAAAGAGTTATCACACTTTTTGAATAATAAGACGCTTTTAAAATGTTGTTAGAAAAAATATAAAATTCACAACACACTCATCTAGAAATCAAGCTTTTATAGTTTGAGGTGTAATAATATGGATTAATATATAATACTATATAATAATATGACTTGCAAAAAACACCAAACTGCAATGTTATGAGCCCTTATATCTTTTAGATTTTTTTATTCTTTTCTTCCTTCCTTCCTTCCTTCTTTCTTTTTTTTTCCCCCTGAGACAGAATGCTTTTGTGCAGTCCTACTGTCCTAGGCTCTGTAGATCAGGCTGGCCTTGAACTCACAGTGATCTGCCTGCCTCTGCCTCTGGAGTGCTGGTTAAAGGCGTGTGCTGCCACTACCTGGCTTAGTATTTTCTATTAAATATTTTTACTTATTTAATATTTAATTGAATATTTTATTTAACATTTATTTTTCTTTTTAAAAATATTTTTATGGTTTATTTAATTTTATTTTATGTGCATTGGTGTGAAGTGTCAGATTCCCTGGAACTGATCTTCAGACAGTTGTGAGCTGCCATGTGGGTGCTGGGAATTGAACCCGGGTCCTCTGGAAGAGCAGTCAGTGCTCTTAACCACTGAGCCATCTCTCCAGCCCGACATTTATTTTTCTTAAATATTTTAAAATTAAATATTTTATTCATTTATATATTAAATTAAATATATTATTTAAAATATTTTGCGAGGGCATGTGCACATGTGCCATGATGCACATGCGGAAGTCAGAGGATCACTTTCAAATGTTAGTTCTCTCTTTCTACCATGTGAGTCCCGGGAATTAAAATCTTTGGCTTGGTAATAGGGCCCTCTATCCATTTAGGCATCTTGTCGATCCCTTTAATTCTTAATTGTCCAGCAGTCAGCTACCAAGTCCTGCTATTATTGTGCCTCTTTCTAAAGCAATGAGTATCAACTCAGCTTTGCTGCTTCAACTGCTATATAAAAAACACAGTGGACAAACTTTAAGACCAGGCTGTAAAAGCCTAAGAAATACCTGGGGAATGGCATGACCTGTGTTCTAACTGGACAGAAGCCTTTCTTCCTGGTACTAAACTACATCATGGATAGCTGAGGCAGTCAAATACACAAAGCATACACGATGAAATTCCGTGTCACATTTGACAAAATTAGTTCTTCAACAGCCTCATCTAAATCTGTAAAGTAATGCAGCATCTACAAGCTCCATAGAATAGAACGTATAAATCCTTACACATCTAACTACACGTCAGTTTTATAAGCTGATTTGGGCTGGGGAGATGGCTGAGTGAACAAAGGCCATTTCCACCCAAGACTCACAACTTTAGCTCTGCCCTGAGAAACAACCTGGTAGAAGCAGAGAACCTTCTGATGTCTACATGTGTCCTGTGACACGCAAGCTCTCACACACGTAAGATAAACGTAATAACACTTGAAAAAAAAATAAAGCCGGGCAACAGTGGCACACGCCTTTAATCCCAGCACTCGGGAGGCAGCAGCAAGTGGATCTCAGTGAGTTCGAAGCCAGCCTGGTCTACAGAGTGAGTTCCAGGATAGCCAAGACTACAACCAAGAAACCCCGTCTCGAAAAAAATAAAATAAAAAATAAAGTCAGAGTGTTTTTTTTTTTTTTTTTGATTTTGTTACTGCAGAACTGGCTATTATCTGTAAATTTATTTTGGGACTGAAAGAGCTCTTCTTCCATAACACTGGAGTTTTTAATTGATATCTATTTATTTACTAGATAATGCAAGTTGTCTACTTGCATGTAAGTATGTGTATGATATTCCGCTTCATGTTTGCACCACATTCTTTCCTGTTATCCTCAGGTGTCAGAGGTGGGTGTCAGATCCCCTAGCATTAGAGTTACAGATGGCTATGAGCTACCACGTGGGTTCTAGGGATCAAACCTGGTTTCTGCAAAAGCAACAAGTGTTTTAACCTCTAAGCAATCAATGTACCCCCATGGCACTAGAATTTAAAAACTGACTAGTAAAATCCACTTCTGCAGGAAATAAATAAATCAACTTTTCTGTGTATAAACAGTTAAACCACATTCATACAAACAAGGTAAGATGAGGAACTTACTAGACCACCCAAATCCCAGGTGATTTTATACTGGAATTGCATTACCAAATTTTCCACTGAATGACTGATGTCATTTTTCATGATAAGAAAACAACAGCCGGGCTAGAAAGATGGCTCAGTGGTTAAGAGCCCTGGCTGCTCTTCCAGAGGTCCTGAGTTCAATTCCCAGCAACCACATGGTGGCTCACAACCATCTGTAATAAGATCTGGCGCCCTCCTCTGGCATGCAGGCATACATGGAGGCAGAATGCTGTCTACATAAGAAATAAATAAATAAATCTTTAAAAAAGTTTAGAGAAAAAAAAAAAGACAAAAGAAAACAATAGCCAAGCTGCCAAATCCAGACTACCACCTGTTTCTTAAATAAAGTTTTATGAAACCGAGCCCCGGCTCCAGAACTGAGACAGAGAGACAGGAGGATCTGGAACCTCACTGTCAGTCAGTCTAGCCAATCAGTAAGCTTCAGGTTCTGTGAGAGACCCTGTCTCAAAAGAAAAGTTGAACAGTGATAGAGAAAGATATCCAATGTCCAATTTTTCCCTGTGTGAATGCACACACACACACACACAAAGACACACACAGACACATACCCACACAAAACAAGCTCTGAATTCACAGAAAGGTGAAAAAAAACAATTCCATAAAGTTATCTTCTGTCTTCCACACAAACACCATGGCATGCATGCCCATAAAAACACATCATGTACACACACACATACATACACTCACAAATAATAAATAATTTTAAATATATTAATTGGTAAGCAAATTGTACAAATAAAATGTACAATAATTAAAGATGAAAATAGGACTATAATTCTGGGGCTAAAGAGATGACTTAGCAGCTAAGATTATTTGCTGTTCTTGCGGTGGACCCGGGTTTATTTCCCAGCACCAACATAAGGAGGCTCACAATGCCTCTAACTCCAGTTTCATGGGATCTGACACTGACTTCTAACCTAGTAGAGCATGCACTGCATGTAACATACTCAGGTACACACACATATATACATAAAATAGAAAATATTTAACTAACTTAAAAGGCTATAACTTTATACTTAAAACAAATAGTCAAGGGGCTGGAGAGATGGCTCAGAGATTAAGAGCATTGCCTGCTCTTCCAAAGGTCCTGAGTTCAATTCCCAGCAACCACATGGTAGCTCACAACCATCTGAAATGAGATCTGATTCCCTCTTTTGGCCTGTTGGCATACACACATATGGAATATTGTATACATAATAAATAAATAAATATTTTTAAAAATGGTCAAATATATAAACAGGTTGACAGCTAATATTCAGAGTGTTTAAAATACCTAGAAGAATACATATCCCTTGAATCAATAAGAATAATTTATTACTTTATTTGAAATTCCTAGACAGAGTTTCTCTGTACAATAGCTCTGACTTCCTGGAACTTGCTCTATAGACCTGGCTGGCCTCAAACTCATGACAATCGGCCTGCTTCTATCTCCTGAGTGCTAGGATGAAAGGCGTGTGCCACCACTGCCCAACTATTTTATTATTTTTATTTAGAGGGAGAAATAGAGGGGGGGTAAGGTGGGCACATGTGCACCCACGAATGGAAGTCAGAGAACAATTTTCAGTACTCAGTTCTGCTTCTGCTATGCAGATCCCAGGGACTGAAGTCATAACATAAGCTTGGCGGTAAGCACCCTTCCCCACTAAGCCACCTTGAGGACCCTAATTAGACATTTTTAACTGGACTTTAAAACATTATCATGAAGTCTAAATTTTTAAAAATTGTTATGTTTATGTAAGTGGTATACCTGATTTCAAATTATGAAATAAGATAATACTAAGAAAGTTCAATTTAGGAGCTAGAGAGATGACTCAGAAGTTATGAACACTGGCTGTTCTTCCAGGAGTCCTGAGTTCAATTCCCAGCAACAACATGGTGGCTCACAACCATCTGTAATGAGATCTAGTGCCCTCTTCTGGTCTGCAGGCGTATATGACACAGAACACTGTATACACAATAAATAAATAAATCCTTTTTTTTCTTAAAGTTCATTTATAGACAGTTCTTTCAAGAAATATTTATTTGGGACAAGTATCTTAGGATGAAGAATTAAAAGAATATAAACTGTATTCTAAAATTTCTTAAGAAGAGAAAAAAATTCTAGAAATCACATATACTACCATAAAATTATCTTTGATTCAAATAGATTTCAAATTGTTACTTTATTCCCAAAATACTGGTGAGATCAGCTTTAAACAATTATGAATTTAAGTTCTGTTACTTTCCACTAATCTGAAATAGGTTCAATATTCCTTGATGTTAAAATATTTTCATCCAGGAGCTAAGATGGCTGCTCTCCCGGAGGACCCTAATTCAATCCCCAGCATTCATAAAACCCTGAGTCCCTCCAGTTCCAGGGGATCTGATATCTTTGCCCTGGGTACCAGAGACACCAGGCATATGTACGGTGCAAAATATGCCATACATATAAAAGAATAATTTTTAAAATTATTTTATCCAAAAAAAGTTGGTTTTAAGAATAAATTTTTACTCTTCTTAATAAAGACCAAATAAAACAAGATGTTCATTACCATATTGTTTACTAAGAGAAGCATGCTCTGCAGGGCAGCTGCTGAGCGGGAGATCTACAAGGTCCAGATCAGCAGCAGGGACTTTCAAAGAGCTCCACGTTGTTCAAAGAAAACAACAACATACACAGCAGGCAACTTTGAAGCTTTCCTATCAGTTCTAATCCCCATTAATTCTTGGACAATAGGAAAACCCAGTAATCGTCAAAATCCCAATATATATCCCAACAATTTCAGAAATCAATGCTGCATTAGCTCAAATAAGAAAAAACAGAAGAAATTATACGCCAAAACAAACCCGTTTAGGGACTGGAGAGATGGCTCAGAGGACCCGAGTTCAATTCCCAGCACCCACATGGTGGCTCCCAACCGTCTGTAATTAGATCTAGTGCCCTCTTCTGGTGTGTGGGCATACATGTCGGCAAAACACTGTATTCATAATAAATAAATCTTTTTTTTTTAAAAAAAAAAAACCTTTTAAAAAGTAATGTATATTCAGACTTGTGAACAAGGGAGACTGACAGTTTGAAGTGAGGCCTAAAACTAAAGTATATTCCACCTGGAATGCAGCGGTAGAGTGGTCACTGACACGTGCAAAGGCCTGCGTTCAAACCAAAGTTCCCTTCATCCATCCAGTCCACCCCACATTCACAAATGTTACATGGTCAAAAATAGCCAAATCATCATTTATCACTTTTGAATACCAAGGATTATGCATATGTATGTTTATTTATGAGCCTCAACCCTAATATCTAACTGATATCTAAAAAAGAAATAAACAGTAATAGTCTATTTATACAATAAATGTTAATGATTAAGTTATTTTTCTATCTTGAGTATAATTATATGCCTATTTTTATATATTCATGTCAACATACACAAATTAAAATAAATATTAAGTGTTTTATTAATGTTATAATACTACAGTAATAACTGTATAAAATAAATATAAAATTTATATATACATTTTATAATTATACTTTTAAGGTTTGTTTACTTTTATCCGAGATAAAAATGTAAAGATTATAACATTTTAAATACTGAAGACAGCAACCAGGTTTTCTTTTTTTTTTTTTTTTTTTTAAAGATTTTATTTATTTATTATGTATACAACATTCTGCCTGCATGAAGAGGGCGCCAGATCTCATTACAGATGGTTGTGAGCCACCATGTGGTTGCTGGGAATTGAACTCAGGACCTCTGGAAGAGCAGCCAGTGCTCTTAACCACTGAGCCATTTCTCCAGCCCAAAATGTTTACAGGATTTTTTTTTTAATATTTATTTATTTATTTTATATACAATATTCTGTCTGTGTGTATGTCTGCAGGCCAGAAGAGGGCACCAGACCTCATTCCAGATGGTTGTGAGCCACCATGTGGTTGCCGGGAATTGAACTCAGGACCTTTGGAAGAGCAGGCAATGCTCTTAACCACTGAGCCATCTCTCCAGCAGCAACCAGGTTTTCTTTACCCAAGATTGGAATCATGCAAAAGGAACAAAAAAGACTGAGACGAGGCACAGAGGTGAGCCACAGATGAGCACATGTGTAGTAAGTATATACACACTTGGCTTAAACACATCTCATTTTTATTATGGCAAAGTGAGGAAACTCAGCACTGGGGAAGCAGAGGCACGGGGACAGACACAAGTTCAAGGTCAATGTAGTTCATGGGGGAGTGCCAGGCCAACCAATTCAACCTAGTGAGGCCCTGTCTCAAAAGATCAAAAATTAAAAAAATTAAAATAATAATAATAAAAAAGACAAGGAAGGTATCACGTGTACAGAAGGCCTTCAAGTAGGCCAGAAAACTGCAAAAGGAGTTGTTTTTTCTAAATCCCTTGAGGAAATAAAAAAAAATATTTCCAGCTCTTTTTTTCTGGAAAAGATGTCAGGAATATCTTCTAAAAGTTCGTAAAGGCAGTAGGAGTGCATTTGTAGAGCATCGTGGTCATTGGGTAAGTCTTAGAATGACTGTGTAACTTGACCAAAACACAGAGCTGGGCCTGTCTCCTTAGCAACACGGTAGGGATGGGCAGCCAATCACAACATACCTGGTGAACCTGAATTTCCACTTTAAGAGCCTCCTGTAGAGTCTGCAACTCCATCCTCTACCTTCTCCACTTTCTCTTATGTCTGCTAATTCTACAGTGTCTTCAGCCTCCGTTTAAAATAACAAGCTCCTCTTGTTGCTGCAGCTGTGGAAATCATAAAATGTTTGGGATCATTGTATTGGGAATAAAGAAAATTTGTCAAAATAATTAAATTAAAAATATTATATTTTGTAACACAAGAAGAAAGTGTCCCCAAAGAACTGTTTAAAGTAATTCAGTGCCAAAATTTTCTGGGTTTTCTTCTTTTGAGCATTCCTCCATAGAACACTTCAAATAACTAAGAAAAGAAATACAACAGCAAAAGTGATGGTCAAGGAAACAGAATACCCACTGTGTGCTCGGCACTGAGGGCAGGGAGCTGAGAGCCACTTCCACCTAGTCGATAACTGGCAGAGAAGGCTGTCACCATTCAGGGCACTCAGACAAAACATGGTTAAGCATTTCAAAATCGGAGTAGACTGGAGAGTTCCCAGTTTCCCAAGGGTTAAGTTGAAGCACTGCGGGAAGGTATTTTAATTTGATTGCAGTCTTACACTACACTAAAAACAAGTCCTAAAACAAAGGGAAAGTCTTGAGTGTCTTAAATGTTTTAGCAACAACTTAGTATTTAAGACAAATACAATGCCCTGCAATACTGCAGTTACCACAAGGGCTGGAGGGATAAACCTTCATGGGTAGACCTTGAGATAGCCTAACACTGCCACGTTTCTGGCTTTGTAGGGACTGCTGTCTCCTTTTCAAACTTGCCAGAGCGCCTCTCTGACCACGTATATGACTGTATGGAGATGTGGTCTGGGTTTATGACTGTAAATGGGACACCTGGTCTCACCTTCCTATCCTATACCATCACCACTGCAGCTTAACCAAGTAGCTCACTTTTCTTTTATCTTTTATTTTCTTTCCTTCTCTTAAAAGTGGCCATGATTTGGGGTAGTCTATCAAAGCTAAGGTATTTTCTTGTCTGAATAAATTTAACCTTTATTAAAAATCTCTTTTCTTCCTTATACCTGTAAAAGCTGTAGCTAGTACTGCTTTCTGGCACTGAGGACAAGATGATGACTCAGGACCCCTAGGCTCTCTAGCACCCCCGACCCACTGACAGTCCTCACCAGTCTGACTGCATTCACAGAGCTACGATGAGATTATTAACTATAAAATACATCCTGGGATTTCTAGTTTCCATTATATTTTCTTAATCTCTCTGGGCTTAAAAACATCAATGACAAGCTCTCCTCTAGGGTTTATACACTATGTTATGTAAAATCAGAATATTCTACCTTAAAAATATTACATTCTCAAAGCACAAAATTCTTTCAAAGTTACATCTCCAGAAGTTAGCAAAGATTTACTGTTAACCAAAAAAAACTCATACAGGCAGGATATTTAGGGGAAATATTTTTAAAAGGAGAAATATCATGAATTTTAGTTACTTACTATCCTAAAAACTGTTGGGAATTATAATAAATACTACAGTCATTAGTAACTCACATAGAGCAAGACTTCTATGATCATTTATACTTTCTTGACTTGCAATGGCTAATTTCGAAAACTATACCAGCTACTTCCATTTTAAGTGCTAAAATAATCTTCCTTCTCAAAATCTTAATTTATACATGGCAGTTCCGTTTTACAGAGTCTTACTGTGCAGCCCATTCTGGTCTTGAACTCACAATCCTCCTACCTTGGCTTTGTGAGTACAGGAATCATAAATGTAATCCACCACAGCCAGTTATGTTACAGCTCTTTAAAAACACCTGGTCTAACTTTTTACAAAGTTCTATCCGAAATTGTGTACAAAAAGATTCCCTAAAATTCTTTCCACATTAAGAATAACCCTACTACAAGAGCAAGTTCAAATCAGAAAGGCCAATTTTATTCCACTGTTGGTAACACACCACAGCTCAGCTGAACTCAAACTCAGAAAACAATCATATCACAGACACTGAGAACTTACAATACCCACCACAAAAGGTTAACACTGTTTATAGTTAGGGCTTTCTCACATTAACTAACAAAAATGTACAGAAAAGCAATTCTCACAAGAAATAAGACCAATAGCCGGGCGGTGGTGGCGCACGCCTTTAATCCCAGCACTCGGGAGGCAGAGGCAGGTGGATCTCTGTGAGTTCGAGGCCAGCCTGGTCTACAAGAGCTAGTTCCAGGACAGGCTCCAAAACCACAGAGAAACCCTGTCTCGAAAAAAAAAAAAAAAAAGAAAGAAGACCAATAAAAAGTGTGAATTCAGTCAAAGTATGTGACACACGTGCGTGACAGTTACACCTTTATGGCACCCGTCCTAGCGTGAATATATACTCAAAAGGATTTGCTGACTGACCGATGACTATGAAAACACCAATCGGTGCTAATGACAGAAACATAAATTTCAGAAGGAAGGTTTTGCCTAGCGTGCTGAAGATGCAGAGCAATAAACTCTAAGCTGCCTAGGGTGGGTCTCATGGTGCTTCACAGCCTGCTGCAAGCCATCTCTGGGTGAAGTACTAAGGACTGCTTAGCCTTCTTTGGGGGACTAGCAATAGTCTCAAACTTTTCCACTGACAATGCATAACTCCTTTCAACTAAGAAAAAAAAAATAATGAAAATAAAGCATCGGAAACATTTATATATAACACACAAAAATAAAAATAAAAAACAAAACAAATACCTCAAAAAGGAAAAAAATAGCTGGGTATGATGGCTTACTCCTGGATCCTAGCACTCAAGTGAACACAAGAGATCAAGGCCAACCTCTGTGCTGTACCAACCTAGGCTACATGATACCCTGACTCAGAGAAATGAAAAGAGGGTGAAGGGAAGGAGGGAGAGGAAGGAGGAACGAGTGAAAACAAGGTTGTAACCTGGAGACTCTAAATGTCAAAGCTCGCTGTGTAAAACAAGCCTGCCAGTCAAGCTAATGAGGAGCTGACAACTTTTACTTCCTCCATCAGGTTGTTATCTGCTTATTAGCGATATACAGAAGCATTTAAATGCCAATTGCCCATTTTGTTTTAGAATAAGACTGAAGGGTTAAAAAAGATCGTGACTGGTCACAGAGAAACTTATGAAAGACTAGAAGACGACTTTGAAATCTTTCATCAGAAAGGTCTCTTTCTGAACAGTTGTTTTAAGAGACTGATTGGTATACACAATTAAAATACATAAAGTTATAATTTAAAAACTCAAGCCAGCCGGGCGATGGTGGCGCACGCCTTTAATCCTAGCACTCGGGAGGCAGAGACAGGCGGATCTCTGTGAGTTCGAGGCCAGCCTGGTCTACAAGAGCTAGTTCCAGGACAGGCTCCAAAGCCACAGAGAAACCCTGTCTCGAAAAACCAAAAAAAAAATAAATAAATAAATAAATAAAAACTCAAGCCAAACATGTTGGAGCCTTTTAAAAAACACTGGATCTTAGCGCATGCAGCATCATGTAAACAATATTTAGAGGCAGTCTTCAGCTTCACAAAAACCTACTACTTTTTTAGAAATTGTAAAATTCGCCGGGCTATGGTGGCACACGCCTTTAATCCCAGCGCTCAGGAGGCAGAGGCAGGTGGATCTCTGTGAGTTCAAGACCAGCCTGGTCTACAAGAGCTAGTTCCAGGATAGGCTCCAAAGAGAAACCCTGTCTCGAAAAAAAAAAAAAAAGAAAGAAATGGTAAATTCATTTACTGGTTGGGGACACACATGCCATGTAGTACATGCAGAGGTCAGAGGACAATTTGACAGAGCTGGTTCTTTCTTTCCACTTTTGCGGGTTCTGGAGATCAAACAGGTTCTCGGGCGTCAAGTGCCTTTACCTGCTGAGCCCCCCAAAAGCTGTTATTTCTAAGTGTATAACAGATAACTTATGGTATTTGCCCAGTTCTAAAAAGGTGTGACCACAGAAGACAGAAAGAGAGAGAGAGAGAGAGAGAGAGAGATCAGTTACTGAAAAAGATGATTATAAACAGACTCACAAGACAGTAATAGACACTTTCCACCCAACATCTCCGCACACCTCCATCACTGCGGGCATCCGCCTAGTGCAACATGCCAACTTTCTGCCTTCGACATTGCACACATTAAACCATCAGGTAATCTAATAGCCTCTCAAGTAACAAACAAAACAAAGCAGAAAACAAATGTGTACCAAGGTACACATTTGTAATGATAAAGTTTGAGAGGTGGAGGCAGAAGGACCAGGAGTTCAAGGTCATCCTTAGCTACAAAGTGAGTTTAAGGCCAGCCTGGGTTATAAGAGGCAATGTCATTGTCTGTCTGTCTGTCTGTCTCTCACAATACACCCACACCGAACATCATAACAAACTAAACAAACAATAATCAGATTGTACCCCCACTCAAAAAAAAGGTAGCTGGATACTGAAGAAAGAACATTTATTGCCTCTCACAAAGCAGAACAAAACCATTCATTGTATAGGCAATTTTACCCCCTGAGAAAATGGGGCTCATGTCACCTATGTCAGGACTTTCATGAAATTTAAATCAACTGAAGGTTTCAGAAAAGCCTTTTGTACACCATCAAGTTTTTGAGCTACTGACATACATCTTCATGTTTAAACTTTGAATAAAACTTCTCAAATTCTCAGGCTGAAGAGTTAGCTGAGTGGCTGATAGCACTTGTTCTTGTAAAGGACCCAGGTCTGATTCCCAGCATCCACATGGAGGCTCACTACCTCCTCAGGCACCGGGACACTTGTACACCCAAGATAATAAAAACGAATCTGAAGTAAAATTTTATTAATCTGAAAATAAAAAATTAAATTTAAAAAGGCCAAATTGTCTACAAATGAGGCTGCTATTGCTCTGAGCAGTTTCCGAAGGCTCTCAGCCTCTGGTCTTTTGCTGCGACTCTTACGACTTGTAAAAAGCTTTAGCCTCTTTTACTGCTAAGAAATACTGCACTGCAAAATCGACATAAAAAATCTTTTCCTATGCAAATCTACCAGGTCAACCAAGAGTTACTTTAATAAGCTCATGGAAAGTGTGTTCCGAAACTGTCCTAAAGAGCTCTGTGCTCTCTATACCGTGCATCTCTTACACATACAGCGTCTGTTCTGATCTACATTCACGGGTGGTTTTGAGAGGGTGACTATTTCAAATAGAAAAGCCTAATTTTTCCTTATTACTCTGCAAATTATCATTACATCCTGACTTATTTTCAGAGCAATATTTCTTTGGTGACACTCCACAAATCAACAGAAAATATCCTTCATAAAACTTGACAACCCTGCCTTTAGAAGAGGCTGCCTACTCTTGGACACTGACCAGGCTGTGTGCTCAAATTGTGGTATGACAGCTATTGACAAAACCACCATAGCTAGCTGGGTGTTTCCAGACTATTAAATTGAGTAGTTACTGATGCTTACTGATTAATTAATGTTTCTTATCTGTTAAATTATCTGTCTGGGTTTACAGGGGAGAGAACAGGCTATTTCTTTTACTAAAGACTCAGTATAGAGTTCATAGCACTGCAGTCCAAGGGTTCTTGTGGACTCTGGGTCAGGCTAGGAATTCCCACAACATTCTCCTCTGAGGCGGTAACTCTTCCCCATCATCAGACTCTTCCAGTGTACATGTCAAACTCAGCTTCTGGGACACAGTCTGCCTGCACACTCATCTATCTCCTATCTTTCTGTAAGGAAAGGAAGAATGTTTATTAAAATCCCAACCACACCCAACAAGTGGAACACTGAAGTCAAATTTAGAGTCTACAGACACTCGAGACGAAGGTTGGAGAGTAGTACACAAAAGCATAGTGATGAAGTGTCTAGGATTTCAGAACACATTTACTGAGGAGTCACTGAATGATGGGGGTGGGAGGCTGTCCAGGCCTGTCCAGAAGCTTATAAATATATACCACAAAAACGGTCACACAGGAAGATGTGCTGGTCCCAGCATAAACAACCAGTATCATGCTTAGTAGAAGCAAAGGCATGGAACATAGATTTCAGACCAACACAAAGAAGAACCAAGGGTTAGAGCTGTGAGAAAAAGGAGTGGTTACCTTATGAGGTAGTGGGCTCCCTGTCATTAGAAGGATTCAAGAATGCTGCATGTCATATCCCCATCTTGGAGATTCACAATGCACATTAGCATATTAAAGGTTCTGAGAAGTCCTGCAGTAAAGAAACCTGTTTAACTTAGTTAAATGCAGCATTTCCCAAATGACTTGACCACAGAACCCTTTTCCCACCCCAGCCCCAACCTTAGAAATATTTCTTCAGTTCCTGTGGAATAAGGGTTTCCCAAAACACATTCATTACAGAAAACAAAGGCCTGCATTTTTTAAAATGTAGTGTTCAGTGTGGACCTGAAGAATTAACAACCTGTCAGGGATGTAAGCAAAGAAATTGCTATGCACACCGGGCGGTGGTGGCGCACGCCTTTAATCCCCACACTCAGGAGGCAAAGGCGGGCGTATCTCTGTGAGTTCAAGGCCAGCCTGGTCTGCAAGAGCTAGTTCCAGGACAGGCTCCAAAGCTACAGAGAAATCCTGTCTCGAAAAACCTAAATAAATAAGTAAATAAATAAATAAACAAAATAGCTATGCAGGACAGAGGCTATGATTCTGTAGCACCACAAGGTAAAGGGTCTTGATTATTACTTTATAAGGAGTTATGAGGGAAAGGCAATAGAATTAAAACAGTAGCAAAATCCAAGTGTAAAAATACAGACATTAAGAGGCTCCAACTTCAAGGCCCCATGGCTACAGTAACCTGGCCAGTCTATATACTGCGGGACCTCAAATTTAACAGCGCAGGAATACAAAATACAGCTGGAATATGAACTTCTCTTTCCTGACTTCCAATTCTCAGGCCTAACTACTGCATTAAGGGCATTTTGGCAATAGGACTTTCAAGTTTTAACGAGTTATCAAATTCAGGAGCATGCAAGTCTAGTGAAGTTATCAGAAAGAAACACAAATAAATTTCAGATATAGCTATGTGGAGCTAAAAATTCACTTTCAGTGCAAACAGCAAAACCTTCTTTCGGGGAAGAAAGATTTTTTGGAGGGAAAAAAAATCACTTACAATATCACTTAATATCTGAATGAGTACAGCTAGAATCAGGCACACTATGTGTGCATACTAAAAGTACTTACCAATTTTGGGGAAACTGGCTCTCTGTCAGTTCTTTAATCCCCTGTAAGAGAACAAAAAAACAGTGTTAAACTGCAGAGTCATGATTTCATCAACAGCGAACGACTCCAAGATTTCTAACTTTAAAGGAGATAAAACAAACAAACAAAAAATACCAATTTCTAAAATTTAAAACCCAACAGTAAACAAGGAAGAAATGAGTAATTTTTACAGCAAAGAAGGAACTGAAGAGCAGTTGAGCCTCTGTTTTAACACAGCTTTTCAAGACCAGGAAAAATAATTATGAATGACCCTTGAACAATAGGGAAGGCACCATTAAGGGCACAAACATCCTGAGTCAAAAATCAGAGCACAAATTTTGGTTCCTCAAAAACTTAACTATGGCCATTGAGTTGTCAACAGGAAACCTCACCAACAAAATTAAGTTACTAACTGATACTCTTTGCTTTTCAGGTAACATACAAACCACAGTGAAAAGTGAGTGATAACCACAGATGACCCACCCACTGCCACATTTTCCACAGATAGTTACACACCTGAGCGCAGGACCACACGTGGAAAGCAACAAGAGGGACTGTAGGCTATTCCAAACATGCAGTGTTACCAGCCAGCTTTCTGTAGCTGTGATCAGGCTGTAAACGCATGTGCACTGATGTCTATATTTTGTAGACTGATAAAAGACCTAGCCATATGTATTTTATTTATTCAAATGGCTCCACTGCACTCTCTTTACAATAAAACATAAAGAATACTTTTGAAGTCCTTAGTTTGTTCCACTTAAAAAGTCTTTTTGTAATAAATCTTAAAATGGATTTGCTTCATGCGAAGCTTTAAATTCACAATATAATGTACAATAAGGGCAAAATAGTAAGTAAAGTATAAATAAATAATATAATCAGAATTTTAATTAAATTTTTATCCACACTATTAAATTTATATCACAGCTTGGGACTGTAAGCCACAAACAGGCAATAGTTCTTCTCTGCCACATTCTTAACCAGTGATAAAGCCAAAAAGAAAAATCTAAATTTTGGTATCCTGACCTAGTATCAGGAAACTAAGATTCAAATGGAGCCCTTAGCATTTTGAGCACTAAACTATGGAAACTCCACGACATGCTGTGTCTCAATTATGCCTAAACACACTTGCTGACCTATGCTACTCCCAAGAGTATTTCAAAGATCCTGTCTCTCAGATGAAACATTTTTGTTAACCATGTTAACAAAAACAGTTTAAAAAATATACAGTAAAGTTATTTAAAAGGCCCCTGTTTCAGTCTATAGTAGGTTCCAAAAGAAACTGACCTGGCTATTCTTTCCTTCTTCTTTTCTGATTGTTACTGTTGTTTGTTTTTGTTTAAGACAAGGTCTCTCTTCAAATCCCTGACTGTGCTAAAACTCACTATGTAGACCAGGCCAACCTCAAACTCTCAAGAAATCCACCTGCCTCTGACTCCTGAGTATTGAGATTAAAAGTGTGCAACAAGGCACCCAGCTCCTCCTTTTTCTCTGACTACAGTTCTTTTCAAAGTTCACAGGAGTACCTCTAAATAGCTTTGTTGTTGGTTTTTTGTTTGTTTGTTTTTTTGTTTTTTGTTTTTTGTTTTTTGTTTTTTTTTTTGGTTTTGGTTTTTCGAAACAGGGTTCTCTGTGGCTTTGGAGCCTGTCCTGGAACTAGACTAGGCTGGCCTTGAACTCACAGAGATCTGCTTGCCTCTGACTCCTAAGTGCTGGAATTAAAGGTGTACACCCCCACCGCCTGGCTAAATACCTATTTTAATCATAGGGATTAGAATGAATTCCCAACCACAAGAAAAATCGTGCAATAAATCTGTATAATAATGCAGTTACTAAAAACTAGACTCAAAGTGTCCTCCGGCTTCTCTGCCAAGGATGGAAAACTTTGCATCATGGCTGACCTCTACTAACTGGATTTAGGGCCAACTGGTGCAATTTACAAAAACAGTTTCACATACGCAGATATTCTAAGTCTCTACAGGTTGTTTTTCAGGTGTATCCCACATGCAGCGTAAATTCTTAACAATCAATTCCAAAAGAGCGCTGAGACTCTTTTTAGAGATGAGTTTTGTGCTGTTTGAGTATTAGTGAAGTCACATAAATTATACTCATCAGGCGGTGGTGGCGCCCATCTTTAACCCCAGCACTCAGAAGGCAGAGGCAGGCAGATTCCTGTGAGTTTGAAACCAGTCTGGTCTACACAATGAGTTCCAGGACAGCCAAGGAGGTTACACAGAGAAACCTGTATTGAAAAACAGAACAAAAAAAGTAGGAGAGAAAAGAGAAATTATACTCATTTATGACAGGATTTAAAATCTAAGACACATTTTTTTTTCCTCATCCTTTCTTGTTTGTTGTGTTCTTTAACAAGCTTTTAAATACCTTTATCCTCTAAATCCTACATTGTCTTCAGCAACTAAAAGCTATCTTGGAAACCACTTTTTTTTTCTTTTTTAAATAAAATTTCTTCAACTTTGTGACTTAATGATAGTTAGTTTTTGTGATTATTGCCCCTTGACTTCTAAAATTCTTTCAAATAATATACAACTGTACCCACAAAAAAAGTAGATTCTCATTATTTCAGTTACTATAGTACAGAGTCCATAGTGTTGCTCAGAAGATGCCCAATGCAGTGGCAGGCTTACAGTGAGCACTCAATAAATGGCCAAGTCCAGGGATTGGTTAAATGGAAACAGACTGTTGCAGGCTCATCCTCCCAGTTCCCCAACTTTCTTGTTAGATAACTCCTTATACATCAGTCTCCCACTGTATTAACTAGTTAGAGGGATAAGTTTTTATCTACACCATTCATCAAGAAGTAAGACAGATAATACTATTTTAAAATATAATGAAAAGAGAAAGACTGAACAATTGGACTAAACAAAAATTAAGAACTTGTGTTCATTTGAAACACAAAATGAAACACCATGTAATGAATGCATGAATGATGGAGGAAGGTCATTGGTTAATTAATAAAGAAACTGCTTGGCCCTGATAGGTTAGAACATAGGTGGGTGGAATAAACAGAACAGAACGCTGGGAGGAAGAGGAAGTGAGGTAAGATGCCTCAGACAGATGCCATGTAGCTCATCGCCGGGGCAGAGGCGATGAAGCTCCAACCCAGGATGGACATAGGCTAGAATCTTCCTGGTAAGCGCACCTCGGTGCCACACACATTAACAGAAATGGGCCAGGCAGTGTTTAAATGAATAGTTTTTGTGTTGTTATTTCGGGGTATAAGCTAGCCAGGCAGCCAGGAGCCGGCCTGTGGGAAGAGGCCCGCAGCTCATACTACAGAATGCCGCCCAATGTGGTAGCAGCAATTTCTTGGGTCTGCTCTGCCTGCTAGAGGCAAGCAAGCGCTCTCATCTAAGAGAGGCTTCCTGACTCAGCTTTAGCTGCAAACCCCTGCAGCTCTTGAGAGGTCCTGCCATGAAACACTTAAATGGTGTTGATAAAAGCCGACCGAATGCTTGCTTGTTTTCAGCCGTAGCAAGAAAAAAGTTGTGCTGTTTTAAAATGCCGGTTTTCTGGGCCGTCCTGCCAGGGCAAACTCTGACTCAGACTCAAGCAGGTAGTCTGACTGAATGTGGTCTGAGAGCAGAATGCTGCAGTTTGCTTGCTGGCAGGGACCTTAAAAAACGCCAAGAGTTGTGGCGGTAAACATGGCTACAACCGGTACCTCCGCCATGAGGCTGGATCTAGCTGCCAAAGCCACGGCTTTAATCCTACCCATCTTGCTCCGTAATTTAAAGGCTCATGTGTTCAGAAAAAGAGAGAGAGATACAGTAAAGAGAGATTCAAAAACAAAGAAAGCCTCTAAATGATTTACAGTGTGTTGAACATATATGCAGCCTAAAAGTTAAAGTTCTTAAAGTAAAAAACAAAAAAAAAAAGGAAAAAAGAGAGTAGTTGGGTGTGGTAGGACACACCTTTAATCCCAACACTTGGAAGGCAGAGGGAGATTGACCTCTGTGACTTCAAGGTGTGGTAGCACATGCCTTTAATCCCAATGCCTGGGAGGCACAGACAGATGGATCTCTGAGAGTTCAAGGACATCCTGGTCTTCAGAGTTATTCCAGGACAAAGATATACAGAAAACCTGTCTCAAAAAGTAAAAATAAACAAAATAGAGTTAAAATAAAGCCATACAAAGATGGAAATTAAACAGAGAATTTTGATACTGTATGCTATTATGCTCTCTTTGAATTGTTTGAATGCTGAGGAAAGAGCAACAGCTGCTAAAAGATATTTGTTTATAAATGCTGCTGAACTAATCCAACATAGATATTTTGAAAATACCTTAACTTCAGAATTTGGATCTAAGGATATGATACTTTGGAAAAGAGATTCTTCTTTTGTTTTCACAGAGAATGAAACCCTGTGGATTGCTTCTATCCCAATATGGTATGATGGACCATGCCCTCCTGAAAGGTTGCTGTGAACACCCTCAAAAAATTACTTCACTCAATTGACGACTGAGATGAACCTAACAGACAGGTTATACCCTGAAATATCTGATTAACAGTGCCCCCATACAGCAGGAAGCAGTTTGGAGAGAAATAACTGCGCCCATATTCCCAAATATTGTTTATAAATGTTCCTTTACATTTAAATGGGGATATGATATAGGTATGAATAATTTACATTGATATGGATTTTGCTTTAGTGATTTAAATTTAAGGTCAATTTTGTTATATGTATATGTGTTTCTGATCTTGATTAGGTATTGTGATTGTGTAGTTCATTTAAAAATGTAAAGTATATAGGTTGTTAATGGATAATCAATAATAGTCAAGTTTGTAGCCATGTTAGTTAGATTTTCTAGATAGATATATATATTTCAGTTAGATTGACATTCTTCATATCTTTCAAAGACTACAGAATATGCTATTTAATGTTTTAATAACTTAGGGTTTTTCATGACAATGAGACATGTCTGCTCCTGGAAACACCAATCTACTTCAAGAAGAAGATGGGCATCGAAGAGGATCCTTATGGAGGTTGATAGCCATTTGGGCAAGAA